TTAGGTAATAAGTTATGTAATCTCATTTTTCTATGAAATATTTCTTTCAATCATTCAAAGCAGTTTGAAAAACAATTGTATCTTCTATAAAGAGATGATCCTTGCGTATACAAGGATCATCTCTTTATAGAAAATACAATTGTCTTTCAACTATTTACAAACTATACGTATTTCCACCGGAAATAAAGGAAGTCGCAGATGTCCGATTACATTTCCACTGAATACACTTTCCTCTGCTCAATTACGATATCAACGTTTTTCGGCACAACGATGTGCGTAAAGGAACGACATTTCAAAATGGAAGTGATAAATTGCATTTTTGGACAAGCTCATAGGTTATCGTTGCCTTAAATGCAGGCGAGGGAAGCAGAGATTCAGTTAAGAATAACTTGCCTTAGCAACAAGGTGCAGCAACGAAGAAGATCCTTTAGTAGCTTTATGATCGATAATTTTCCATAATGAGCTCATCTTGAAGCCGGCTGCATTCCCATGAGATGAGGAAGAGTTCAGGTAATTCCCTATGTTAACCAAGAGGAGAAGAAGGCGACGAATTGAACTGGATTTTCGTAGCTCTGGATATTTTTGTAAAACTTTTTATTTGAGAGCGCGGCAGCACTGGCACTCACCTGTGCAGGCAATCTTGAGAAGATGTACATTTGGCACAACATCTTCCATAACGCGGTGGAACTCAAGTCTCAGCAACATACATTCGATTCTGAATAGAGTTTTTGTAGAGAAAAAAATCCTTTAAAGAGGTGTGCTTTACCTAAGGCGATAATCTGGGATGTCTAATAGATTTAGGAAGAACGAACATGCTGGAGTAAGCTGCGTTATCTCGCCTGTGTACCTCCGCAAGGCATCAACCTAAAAATTAAGTAGCACTTTTTCAACTGCTGCAAGTTAGCAACAACCTCCTCCGTCTCAGGCAGAATTGTCTTCAACGTTCGCAGTGATTCGATATCAAAATGGGCAATCTTGTTTGCATTCAAGTCCGAAATAATTGAGTCTAAGTCCTGCAAGCAAATTACTCGCCCAAAAAACATTAAAAAGGAATGTTGTGGAGGACCTTGAATTGTTTCAATACAATGGTGACATTTTGACTTCTCTTAGGAGTAAGAAGATCTACAAGCAC